TTCCCCTCTCCCACACTGCTTTTTAAATTGCCTCTGAATTCTTGAGCTGTTTTAGTGCCTCACTCCCCTTCTTGGCTGAAATTACTTTTTTACCCTCTCAAACTCTGGCATGCTGAGGAAGCAGGTTCCACCTTCCCCTCCCTGCTCTTTGTCCACTCGAGGACAAACACACGCTAATCACATGTACAGTCCGCCAAGCGAGCTGTTTGTTAGAGAAGGGTGAAAGAGAGGCTGCCGTTTTCTTTCTGTAATGTCGTCTATAGACAAAACAGCGTGCGTTGGAGTCTTGTGACAACACGGCTCTTGTCCTTTTCAACCTCAGGCCGGCTGGGCCATTAACCAGGCCAACTTTGGGCAACTTTGGGCCTCTTTCTACTTTACACACATATACACACACACACACACACACACACAAAGATTTACACAGTGTACGAGTCTTTCTCTTTTGTTTGCACTCCCATACTCAAACATGCACACAAGCTCTACTTTCTTCTCTGACAGCTCTCTTGTGGTCGACAAGCCTCAGTAACTCGTTGCTTAACCACCCTAGACTTTTTTCTCTCCATTGTGCTTGGCTACTGTCTGTGTTGAGTTGAAGGCGTGTGTGTGTGTGTGTGTGTGTGTGTGTGTGTGTGTGTGTGTGTGAAGGAGGAGGTGTTAAAGGAGTGTGTCCATCAACATTCAGGCTGTATGATTTAACACAAGTAGCAGTTGTGTATCATTTTACGTTTAAGCATCAATCCATCAAAAAAAATGTATTTTCAAAAAACTCAATCCAAGAAGAATTTGGCTTGGTTTAGAGGAGACGGAGGATCTTGTTGAGACACACACTTATACACACACTGACACACTCCCTGAGCACAATCAGAACACGAGATCAGAGGTCAAACCGGGTCACATGACTCTTTCCTCCCTTTTCAGGCCTTCTCTCTCCTCTTCTTTACAGTGTTGAAGCGTGCTTTCTAATAACAAAACTCCCCTTCTTAAACACATACATACACACACACACACACACACACACACACACACACACACACACACACAAATATGATATATACAGAACTTCACTCATATCTATAGTGCAGCCTCCAACCCCAGCACACAAGACTGTATCTTCTTTCCATTAGCTGTAACTCTTTCAATGGATGATAAATGCAGTATCCTTCACAACACATTTGAAGTATAGTTCAACACACACATCTTTTATTCCGAGGCAAGTCTTATTCCGCCTTTGCTTTTTCCCACTCAAGCCCCCACATAGCTCGCAGCATCGTCCACGCACACACACACACACACACATACACACATTGACACAAAGAGAACCACCATTTCCACATATTTGTCTCTCCTTTTAAAAGGGGGTTTTATTTAGCATAAATGTTGAAGCCAAGGGTGCCCGGCTACCATGGCAACCAAATTAAACGGAGGATCTCTTCAGAAAGCAGAAATCTAAATTATTCGGACTCTTTTATGAAGGGGAAAATGAAAATTCCCTTCACTGTACGGAGACCGCTGCACTGTAAAATCAGAAGAAAAGGAGGGGGACAAAAAAAGAGAGGATAATGCTATTGTTTTTTTGGATCTGACCATGCACTTCAAAGCCATATCCTATGCGATTGAAATTCATAGGTTGTCCTATGACAGCCAGCATGTTAACACTCAGCATATGTGCACAAAGGAATGATGTAACCACAGTGTCTCTGAAACTCCACATAAACCTATTGCCTCTGAAAAGACGCCACAATATGTGTGTCTGCAAATCCTCAGCAAAAGCCACCGCACGTATGATGAAATCCATAAGCTGCATGCACGGGATTAGGTGCAACTGTTTCTGGTGTGGTAAATGATTTTATCTGTCAGAACAGGATGAGGTTTAAGTAACACACCACCATCTACGCATGCAGCGCTTGATAAAGCTTACATAAGTGAAGGAGGATTAAGTGGTATATTCCGATTATTTGGCGCGGAAGCCTGTTTGTGGTCAGCTGAATACTAATTTCTAATATGTCAAGATAAGACCCAGAATTGTGGATAAATCCTCAGAAAGCAGGATGCTTTATGTTGTGGCGAAGTGTCTTAGCAGCACAGAGGGAGGCCTTTGCTAAAGTGTAAAACAGAGATATTATTTTCACACGTTTACAGAATTTTGACTGTCTCATGCGAGGAAATCAGGAAGCAAATGCCTCTCCATAACTCTGCCATCAAATCCTCTTTGTGTGACTGAAGGATTGTTACTGTATGACCAGGAGGAGAGCAGACATGTTCCATTTGTACATGCACACGTCTATGGATGCTGGGTCAGGGGTCATTCACTCGCCCAATGAACAGATGAGTGGAGGAAGATGGGGGTCAGAGGTGACCCTCTTTTCGCTCTCTCCCCTTTTGCTTCCCCTTCTTCGTTTGTCTGCCTCTCTTTTTTCTCCATATATATATGTGTGTGTGTGTGTGTTTGTTGTTGGCCCACAGCAGATCTATGTTATTGATTGACTCCTGTGGCTGCTGGGCTGCCCACTGAAGGAGGGGGCAGAGCTCTAATGAATTCCTGCACCCCGTGCCCCCTTGCGCCAACCCCTACACCCCCTCCTTAATTAACTTTGTGTGTGCTTGTGGGGCGGGGGTGTGCGTGGATGTGTGTTTTGTGTGCATCTTCTGTGCTTCTTCCTCCACAGCTCTACACCCCCGCTTCTACACTCCCCTGCCTTTTCTTTCTTTCTTTCTCTCTCTCCATGTCCATGCCTCCTCTCCTCTGTCTTCATTCCTCCTACTTTATCTCCTTTTTTTACATCTTCCTCTGCGTCTGCAAGGAGTTTGATGGCCGCTGATTACTTTGTATGTGTGTCACTCTTATCTGTCGCGCCCCATCTCTCCCCCCCCCCCCCCCCCCATTCTGTATATCTCTCTCGTATCGCTACACCTTTCAGATCTATGCCTGTTTGTGCAACCGTGCATACAGAGCTTGTTTCCATCAATCTGATCGGGGATCATTTATCTATCCTTACAAGAAAAATGAAGTGTGTGTGTCTGTGTGTGTCTGTGATATAGTGGTCAACATTGACCCAATAGGCTGTGAAGAGGCTGCAAACCCATCGGTATTCCAGACGTGGAGGCAAACTACTGTCTCTGTCACCTTGATCCCCTGCAGCAGATGAGCACTGGGCTGCACAGGAAACACTTAGCACTACCTGACTGTAGTTAAAATGGACAATAGAGCTATTTTGTTCTATCACTCACATTTCTTATTCTGCTGCACTCTTGTATCACCCTGTTTCTTTTAGCAGAGGAAACAATCCCCAAAAAAGGCTTAAGGTTGTGAGATTTCCCAAAAAACAACCATGTTTTTTTTTTCTTGAACGAACATGTTACTTTATAAAATAACATCTTTTTATCACAAGTATCTCTGGATATTAAGATCAGAATGTCCCCAAATCAGGAAGGATTCTTATAATTGGTTATAATTATAGTTATTCACTCCAATGTAGAACAGATGTGATTTATTTATTTGTCCCTTTTTTAAAAGGTGCACACTTAACCACAGGAAAATGAATATTTTTAAAAGGGCAATGTATTAAAGTCAATCATTTTTAAAGTAGGGATACCTATCATGGAAGGATGTTGGTGATTTCTCCCAAATATTGTTTATTGTCTTAAAAGTGGGTTTTTTTATTTGTTATTTTCACCATCTGATGTCTTACCAGCACCAAACATGAATCTAGTAGAGCCTGCTTTTCAAATTGAAACATACAATCGAGCTATCTTTTATTATTTGTACATCGTCAAATCACAACAGAAGTTATCTCAGGACACTTCATTTAGAAAGAGCAGGTCTGAAACACTCCTTTAAATAGACCCAACTTATATCTATCATGAACAACAATAGTGGCAAACAAATCCTTTTGACGGGCAAACAATTTTGGCAGAACCGGAGTCATTGTTTGATTTGCCAAATAAGATAAGGTCCTGTTGGTGCAAATGTGTTTATTCTCCATGAAGGGTTAATTCACTGCAGGGGTTTTGTGGAATGTTAAACCAATACATGAGGATGTCAGACTGTTTTCTGTCCAAAATAATCATAAGTAATTATGCACACACACTCACTTGGAGTTCACTTGTGAGTCTGCATTAGCATTAAGAGGTCCGTGTGTGTGCGTGTGTATGTGTGTGTTTGTTTTAAAGTGTAGACAAGCAGTTCTTTCAAAGTCTGTGATGTGCGTGATGTGTATTTTTGTACAAGTCTTTGTTGAAGAAAGAAACCTGTCATCAGTTAAATGTCAATTAGGAGGCAATGAAAGTGTGTTTTCTTGTCTGAATTTGCCAGTGTGCGTATATGTGTGTGCGTTGAGAGGAGCTGTCGTCAGCAGTGTGGTCTGACAGTCTTGTAGATCTACAGTGGAACCTCCAGCGACATGTCTGCTGCTGACAGCTTCTCTACACACTCTGCTTTCAACGACACTGACGGCTAAGCAGACTCAAGCAGACGTAACGCACGCACACACACATACACACACACACACACACACACACACACACACACACACACACACACACACCACGTCTGACTCTCTCTCTCTCTCTCTCTCTCTCTCTCTCTCTCTCTCTCTCTCTGGCTGTCTCGGTATGATCTCCCTGTATTTTTGTTGACTGGTGATGATGAGGTATGTTAGGGAGTTGAGGAGAGTAAGAGATGATTCAGAGAGTGACGTGTTGGTAGCTGCTACTGAAAACACAGGGTGTAAGCGATGACTGGGCTGAGAGGTTTGAAAGGATTGGTTTAATATTGTGTATTTTTGTGTTGTGAAAAAGAGTTATATCAAGTAATCATTTTCAGGGATTTTTTTGTTTGATGAACTCCATTCATCCTCCTAAACAAAATCAGGCATGAAGTGGTGTCAAATGTTTCGAGTCCTATTCCTTTACAACCCATTTAAATATCCACGCTTTAGTTTATCTTACTGATGTTAGTCAGAACCTCACACAGCTCCTCTTACTTCATCTCTTTTCAGGTGCAGACGTGACCGAACCCAACAGCTCAGACAGCCGCGGTGAACGCCTCGACTTCTTCCTCAAACAGGAGGAGGCTCTGACCACGGAGCCCAGCTACCTTGGTCCCAACGAATCGGAGGAGGCCGGGGGAGGAGCAGGGGGTGGGACCATCTCATCCGTAGCCAATCTGAAGGCAGCGCTGCTGAGTAAGAACAGCCTGCTGTCGCTACGGGCTGAAATGATGGGAGATGATAACCCCTTACTGTACGAGTACCTGCCCAAAGGAGGACACTCCCTGTCTTGTAAGTCCACTATTTACTAACACCAAACTCTCACACACACACACACACACAACCACAGACACACACACACACAACCACACACACACACACAACCACAGACACACACACACACAACCACACACACACACACAACCACAGACACACACACACACAACCCCACACGCACACACACACACACACACAACCACACACACACACACACACACACACACACACACACACACACACACACACACACACGCACACACACACACACACACACACACACACACACTCAAGATAACGTACAAACTGATTCTGAATCAACTAAAGCACCTGCTCATGTGGTCACCTGTGAGACATAAGACATACAGACATGTCCACTTTGACATAAGTATTCTCTTCCTCAGCAACTATTTTAAGATAAATCTGATGCATAGGTGTGTGGAAGTGTGTGTGTATGCGTGAGTGTATGTGGTACCACTCCAGAAGTGTGTGACGAGTTTGTGTGGCAATGCAAATGATGACTAGTCAGCGGTGACTCAGTGAGAGAACATTTTGCTGAGATCGCTCTCGCTGTCGTGAGAAAATTTGTTTGGTTTTTATGCGACAGTTTTTTTGTGCATATCAGTGGGTCCACAACTGTGTTTCACAGCAGCCAAATAACACAACAGAAGCGTAGCAACTGTTGCCACATTACTTACTTCACTATTATTTCAGCAAAAAAAACAAAAACTGATTTCCGTGACTCAACTGCAGCAGAAACCTCTACATCCTATGAAACAAAACTTAAAAAATACTGAGTATTACTTATAACTTATTTATTCCTAAAAGTAAGAACATTTAAAATAAAATAAAAATCAATATAGCTTTAATAAGTTATGATTGACAAATGTGAGGAGAATTGATACAAAAAAATAACAACAGAACTCAATGATAGTTTGTTAAAGTATTTTTTTTTTGTTTTTGTGAAAAGGTAACTGATGGTTATTGTTAGCTCGCAACATTTATATAAGTTTCTGAATTTCACTGTAATATGAGGTAGCGTTATTCACTTAACGCCTTCCCTTACTTAGGAAAAAACTCTTTCTAAAATCACATCAATATACGATCAATAAACAGCCTTATTCGTGTTCGATGAGCCCACACTAACCAGAGATTTTTTTTTCTTCCTTCAGTTAGTTTTCTTTCCCTCCAGCGAGGGTGTTAAACTCTCAGTGTGTCTGTGTGTGTGTGTGTATCAGCACGAGTGTATATTTGTTGAGTCTATGTCCGCGTGGGCACATTCTGTGTGTTAGTATGTGTGTGTGTGTGTGTGTACACAACTCTTGTGTTTGTGTTTCTTTTTGCTTCTACTGGCTAGTAATTGGATCTTTTGTCCTGAGTTCTGCTGGCTTTGTGAGCAGAAGAAAAGCAAAGGAAGGGTACAACTCAGAGCATAGCCATGCCTGTTTGAGCTGAGCCCCACTCACCTTCAAAATAAAAGTCAGGGCTGTGACTGAATAGGCCAAGACGCACATTTGCAGTCTCACATTTGCACTCGCAACGCGCACACACATCACATCACATCACCCCTTTTGTGCGAGAGTTAAGTGTGTGGGATTGAGATGTTTCTGTTGGCTTAAAGAGCAGAATCAGATGCTGTCACATCATAGATAGACAGCCTCCAGAAAAGAGAAGAAGAAGAGGTTTTTGTGTACACACTTATTCTCTACAGATACACCCAGCCTTGACTTAATGAATAGGAGATTCAGAGAATTTAGAGAATGTTAATCATTTGCTCCCTGCATTGGAAATAAAAACATGTTAAAGAGTCTTAAAGCTGTATTTCATTTGTCACCAAAGAACCCTCGGGGAGGTTTTTGGTTAGCCGAACCCTATTTTGAATTCCCAACACAATAGCTGTTGGGGAAATGGGCTTGTCGAGGTGGCCAACAACCTCCCCTCCCTCCCTCCCCGAGTCTGTCCCTGTGTCTAAATGAGGACGGAAAATAAACAAACACTGTACCTCAGATTACTGGGCGGAGGAGAAGTCTGCCTGCTTTGACAGATCGCTGCTCCCAGCCTCCCTCCTTCCATTCAACCTCATTTCCCCCTCCTCCTGTTCTCCTCCCTGTTTCTCCTTCACCCCTGCTTAACATCCTTCCTGTCCTTTTCTCCCTCCTATACTCCCCCTCCCTCCCTCCCTCCTTCCTTTCCTCCCATCTATTTCTCCTTCACCCCTCCTTAACACCCAGTCCTCACTTTCTCCCTCCCCTCTCCGGCCGGCCCCTGCAGTTCCTCCGTATTTGTCTCACTCCTGCATCTTTCCCCCACTTTTACTTCAGCCGTGGAGCATCAAAGTATGTCAGTTTGAAATCCTGGGAAAGTATTGATCTTTGCAGAGAGGAGGTAGAGCAAGGTCACTTGGTCTGATTCGAGTGAGACCTGTGAATATGAGCAAAAGGCCCTGACTTAGATTCTGTCTCCCCCTCTCCCCCTTCCTCTTACTCTCATTCTCTCTTCTGACTCCTCAATAAAACATGTTCCTACTAATTCAAACACCCAAAAACACTGAATCAATGTTGAGTTTCAACACTAAAAACGAATCTGTTAAATGTAGCATTTTAAAAGATCTGACCACCAACCCTCCTTGAGATTTAAATGCACGTCTCCTGTCTTTGCAGTCTTTTGCATGGGTCACGGACTATTTCCTCCCACCAGTCAGAATGCTAAAATCCTTTGTAACCCGTCTGTTTGTCAATCAGCTGTCTGAATCCAATTAAGATCATTAGGATTTTGCCCCCGTCATACCTTTTTTTTGTGTGTTAAACAGTCAGTGCCAGACATTGGATTTTGCTGGACTATCCCTGTGCTCCTGTCCACAGTGCCACTGTGTACCGGCTAAAGAGAACATCCAATTAACCAAAGGGATCATAGTGACATTATCAAACTTTTCTCTCTTACACTTCACAACCACTTTTGAAAATTGACTCACACTGTACAGTAGCTCCCAGTGGCTGTAGCTGCTCCCATGGAGATTTTATAATTTTCTTATAAATGATTTGAATGCTATGTTTGATCTCCATAAGGAAGGGCACTAAGGGTGGGATTTTCCATTGAAGGTAAACTACTAATATGGCAATGATCTACAGTAGGGCTGCGCATTTAATTGCAATTTAACCGATTCATATCGCACGTCATTTCATTATCACAAATAATGTTACTGCGCATTGCATATTTTTCTCATATCATGCAGACCTATTATACAGTCATCCTTGTCCGGTCTTTAAGTAATTCAGTTACTCTGCATTCTCAGATTTTTCCTCGTTGTGTACTTTTTTTTATTCTCTTGTCACTGCGCAGTGAGTCAACCTGCTGTTATTTGTATTCTTTACAGCATGCCAGACACGACTGCAATATTAAACTCAGTGAGACAAGATTGCAAAATGTACAGTCGTATGTTCAAATTCTGCAAGAGCTTTGAACCAGGACTGCTGAATTTATCTTGCATATTTATTCCGTGGTATTCTAGTCCTTTCCTTAGAAGCATACACCATTTGTTAATGAGCCGCTACCTCTCACCTGTAGCTCATCCCTCTCTATTTTTTCTCCTTAATGTTCTTCCTCCCTCACGTCTCTTTAGGGGGGTGGGAAAGAACAGGAGATAGGGAGTTGGACATTTGTGTGTGTTTTCAGTAAGTGGGAGTGGGGAGTGTCGGGCGCGGTAGTTTAACATTCCAGGAATCCGTCCATGGTCGAGTCTCATGGTTGTGTGATTCTGTCCGTTGTGCAGAGGAGGGCGATGAATGGCTAACCCACTGCATAACTCTGGAGACATTCCCCAAAACACTGCCCACACATGCACATACTCATACGCACACACATTATCCAGAATAACCTGCACTGTATGCTTTGATTCATTAAAAGAGAAACGGATGCACTCTTGGTAGCTGCTAATGGTGATATTAATGTAGCAGAAAAAGCTCTGAGTGAATAGTTATGGAGTGCTAAAGGGTCTGCAAGAAATTTAAAATTCCTCATCCAGCGGGCCTTAACTTGTTGCTGGTAAACATCTTGCACGGTCCATGTAGCCGTCCTTTTACCCTGCGCGTACAAAAAGTCTTCACTTGAGCTGCAAGATGGCTTCTTTCCAAAACAGTCTCCCTCTATGCTACACAGGATCCTCAAGCCCTCTTCCTTATATGCATTTCTCTCACTCACACAGCAACATGCACACACTCACACAAAACACACATGCTGCCATCCTCTGCGCACGCATGTGGGTGGAAGGAGATGGAGAGCAGAGGAGCAAAAGAAAAAGAGAGAGAAAGAGAGAAGAGAAGCCCTAACCCTTTCCCCTCGGCTGGTGGAAAGTGAAACTTCAGAGTTTTTCTTCCTCCCCCTCTCCGTAGTGTTTGATAGCGTAGCACTGGCAGCCTCTGTGTGCCCCCCTGCCCACTCTCTCCCGCTGTGTTCTGGTGGCCAGCTGCTAGCAGACTTGCAGTTGTACGTGAGTGGGTGGGTGAGACTCGTTTCCTGTGCTCCTCAGGGCTTCGCTCCAACAACTGCAGCACACTCCGGCCAGGGGCCACGGGGGCCACTATTCATAACAAACAGGGGGCTGGCTCCTCTCCTCCTCCTCTTCCTCTTCTTCCTCCTCATCTTCCACCATCACCACCACCACCACTACTGCCATCATCTTCATCTTCAACATCAGCATACTGCCCGCCCACTCCACCCACGCCACTGCACCCCTCTGAGCCTCGGCCCCTGGAGGCCCCCGGTCTGCGGGCTGGGGCGACCCCGCTGCGTTCAGAAGAATTGGACATGGAAGTGGAAGAGGACCCCGAGGGCTCGGAGCCCTCCACCTTGCCTGAGGTAAGCGCACACAGAACCTGGCTCTTCTCCAGGGTGCAGGCTGTTCTCTGGTTATTGCTCCACCAGTCAGATAAAAGTTTGTGAGTGGAGTTAGCATCCAGGGGCAGCTTCACCCTATTTCTGCACCCACACACACACACACACACACACACACACACACA